TAGATCTTTGAGGAGGATTGAATGTAGAGAAATTTCATATTAAATTCAAGAAATAAAAAGCAATAACAACAACATCTAGTAAACATTATAACAAATCTAAATAACCCATTTAACTCCTACCAGGGAAGTCCCGCATATTTCTCGTTTATGTTCAGAATCATCGCGCCACCCCGTTTTCAAAATCCCGGCTCCGCCACTGATTTGGGATTATTTTTTTCTTATGATCAATGAGAGTAGTCCAAGAGTTGGCGGTGGGTGGTGATGACTAGCTGCCTTTCCTCTAGTCTTACACTGCTAAATTAGGGACGGCTAGCACAGATAGCCCTCGTGTAGCTTTGCGCGAAATTCAAAAAACAAACAAACAAACAGTACACATTTAACATACCGTAGTATAGTTTTCACTTCTATGTTCAATTTGCATGAAATATTTTTCACATTTTCTGATGTTTTATATGTAAAACACTTAATGGTAATCTATTTCCCCTTATTTAAATCTTTGGGTTAGCTGGAAATGCAACACCTAAAGTTAAATACCTTAACCCTATCGCCCCAAATACCCTTTACTACGCATAACACATTCAAAATTTTATTACACCACTTTTTACTTGTGTTATACCAATTAGAATAGCATACATTCTTAGCTAATAATCCATATTTTAATAGTATACAAGTTTTAAGTTCTCAATTCTATGAGGCAATATTTTAAACAATCTTGAATTTCCACTAGTGTGACCCATGCGACACATTTTCTCTTAGCATGTCATCATCCCTATTTTATCCACCACCTCTTGAAAATGTACGAAATTAAACGTAAATTACTCTCTATTAAATTGTTATTGTTCAGAGAAACCATAATTTTTATAGTCTTCAATTTGGTTACATAGCTATGGAATAAAAAATCCGACCCCTCCTGCCACACCCACTTGTCACATCCTCTCTTTCACAATTCGTTGATAGTTCTCTGTTACATTTCATTATATGTTACTTATAACCAATAGAAATTCAAGGTTTTCATCCATCAAATGACGTATTGTATAACGCTGTATTCTGAACAGAATAATGTCAATTTCACTCACAGTAGAAGATTCGTTCCCATGGGAAAGTTAATGACTAGCTTGGATGAATTTGTAATGGCTCTTGTTGCATAATTACAAAACCAGAAAAATTTTGAGAGGTTAGGGAATTTGTCTACTTTTTGCATTTTATTAGTCTATATTCTTTGGTCCATTACTTAATTAAATGAAAATTATTAAGTGCATTACTATAATTACTGTAAAAAATCAGGCTTAACTGTCCTTGACAGTTGAGGGCAAGAACAAAAAGAGGATTGGATAAGTACTTTATCTCTTATTATAAAAGTTACTAAAATCTAACAATACAGATCTTTTTAAGTTATTTAAGACTAGATTAGGTGTAATAATAATAACAATATAATTAAAATGGTTCACCAGGCACGCACACAAGCAGCTCATGGGTTATGTAATTCAATAGCATAACATGAGCTGCACATTCCCGAGTGATTTACAACTTATAATGGTGCAGATAGTAGTTAAACATGGTTCAAAGAGCAAATTTAATTATAAATAAATGTATATTGTTACGAACTTAAAGCTACTTAGGATAAACATTGTAGTTTTATGTTACAATTTCAAGTCATTCTAGAAAGAAAAAGGGTAATTCAGGTTTATTTCGATTTGTTTTTGGTGGTTACGAGGTTGGTTGATTTGACCAATCCTGTTTTGAGATAGGGTAGAGAAAATAACAGATAAACTATAAAGGGGATAACTATATTGAGCCCATATTGAGAGAGTTAATAAATAATCTAATGCTAATGACTGTTTTGACCTAGGCTTCATTACATTGGTAGAATGCATTCACATTATTTTTGATAAATCTTGGATAAAGTCATCTTTTTTGGAACATTAAGTTTTCTTAATAAATGTTTCAGCATACATGATACTTGTCAAGTGTGTGATTTTTTTACTTAGATATATTGATGATAGCATATTAGGCTATGGTGAAACACATCGGTTTTAAGAGACAGAGGAGGGGTAATGTGAGGGTCAAAATATCTTATGTCCAGTATGATGGAGGAAAATCGGATTAGTTATTGATTTCAAGTGCACAATATGTTTTCTAGAATTTCTAAATGAAGAAACTTTCTAGGATCATATTACCTCGAATAACTTTGGGGAATGCCCTTTATGTTTCAATTACTGTGATTTATTCAATATAACTAATCACATGTGAGAACAAGTATAAGCACCCATAGCCAAAGGATTAGGAACTGGGGACCAGAGAATAGGAAGCTTAAAGTTGAAAGGAATAGCAAAGACATCTATGAGAAGAGTGCCCAACCAAGAGTACAGCCAACTAAAATGTTGAAGATAGAGATACCACTCTCTGGGCAGAACATGGGTCTAGCTGAGAGAGATGATCTGCTAACATGTTCAAAGCCCCTGACATATGACAGCCCATGAGATGAACTTGAGGGGAATGAGCAAAGAAGATGAGGCTCAATGCACAAAAGCAAACAGTCCTGGAGTGAGTACACCCTTGATGGTTGATATAACAGATGACTGTGAGTGTCAGAGTGGATCATGAGCAACTGAAGAGGAAGGAAACGGGAACATGCCCAAAGAACATTGATAAGTTTGAGCATGTTGGTGTGGAATGAACTCTCCTCATGTGCTCAAATGCCAGAAGTCATGTTGTCATTCAGAGATGTGCCTCAACCCAAGAGGGAAGCATCTGTGAAGAGATGGAAATCTGGTTGGAGGAAGTAAGGGTACACTAATTGTGGTATTGGCACAGTCTAGCCACCTAGACAAATTCTAGAAAGGATGAGAAGTGAAATATTTATGGAATACAAATACTGAGCATTTCAAAGATAATGAAGAAATGAAGTTTGTGTATAACATATGGTATAGAGAAATCCAGAAGATCGAAGAAAGATATAAAAAATATGGACACTAACTAGTTACCCGCATAACCAAATAAGGAGGAGACACACTTGAAGCCCATCACATGAGTTAGCTAGATATGCATTCCTAGTTTTGACCTTAGAGATGTTGAAAATAACAGCTATGAATTCTAGCACCAAACAGATACGGTGTGCTGAGATAAAACTGCAATTGTTTATATACAGCAGTGTCATAAAAGATGACTAATGGTATTTTGATGAAAACTAATGAGTGGAATAAATATTTGTGAAAAGGCCAAAT